AAAGGAACTTGAAAAAAACCCAAATGAAAAAAATACACCTCTCCACTTTTTAATGATTTTTCGACAAATTATTGACGGGAAAAATGTGAAACTTTCTGAGGGGAAAGAGGAAAAAAGGGAGCTTATCATACTGAAATTTCGAATCAATTTGATGAAAAATAGCAATATGAGAAAATCTTGAAAAGGAACTTGAAAAAAAACCCAAATGAAAAAAATACACCTCTCCACTTTTTAATGATTTTTCGACAAATTATTGACGGGAAAAATGTGAAACTTTCTGAGGGGAAAGAGGAAAAAAGGTAGCTTATCATACTGAAATTACGAATCAATTCGATGAAAAGTAGCAATATGAGAAAATCTTGAAAAGAAACTTGAAAAAACACAAATTAATAAAAATACACCTCTCCACTTTTCGATGATTTTTCGACAAATTATTGACGGGAAAAATGTGAAACTTTCTGAGTGGAAAGAGGAAAAAAGGGAGCTTATCATACTGAAATTTCGAATCAATTCGATGAAAAATAGCAATATGAGAAAATCTTGAAAAGGAACTTGAAAAAAACCCAAATGAAAAAAATACACCTCTCCACTTTTTAATGATTTTTCGACAAATTATTGACGGGAAAAATGTGAAACTTTCTGAGGGGAAAGAGGAAAAAAGGGAGCTTATCATACTGAAATTTCGAATCAATTTGATGAAAAATAGCAATATGAGAAAATCTTGAAAAGGAACTTGAAAAAAACCCAAATGAAAAAAATACACCTCTCCACTTTTTAATGATTTTTCGACAAATTATTGACGGGAAAAATGTGAAACTTTCTGAGGGGAAAGAGGAAAAAAGGTAGCTTATCATACTGAAATTACGAATCAATTCGATGAAAAGTAGCAATATGAGAAAATCTTGAAAAGAAACTTGAAAAAACACAAATTAATAAAAATACACCTCTCCACTTTTCGATGATTTTTCGACAAATTATTGACGGGAAAAATGTGAAACTTTCTGAGTGGAAAGAGGAAAAAAGGGAGCTTATCATACTGAAATTTCGAATCAATTCGATGAAAAATAGCAATATGAGAAAATCTTGAAAAGGAACTTGAAAAAAACCCAAATGAAAAAAATACACCTCTCCACTTTTTAATGATTTTTCGACAAATTATTGACGGGAAAAATGTGAAACTTTCTGAGGGGAAAGAGGAAAAAAGGTAGCTTATCATACTGAAATTACGAATCAATTCGATGAAAAGTAGCAATATGAGAAAATCTTGAAAAGAAACTTGAAAAAACACAAATTAATAAAAATACACCTCTCCACTTTTCGATGATTTTTCGACAAATTATTGACGGGAAAAATGTGAAACTTTCTGAGTGGAAAGAGGAAAAAAGGGAGCTTATCATACTGAAATTACGAATCAATTCGATGAAAAGTAGCAATATGAGAAAATCTTGAAAAGAAACTTGAAAAAACACAAATTAATAAAAATACACCTCTCCACTTTTCGATGATTTTTCGACAAATTATTGACGGGAAAAATGTGAAACTTTCTGAGTGGAAAGAGGAAAAAAGGGAGCTTATCATACTGAAATTTCGAATCAATTCGATGAAAAATAGCAATATGAGAAAATCTTGAAAAGGAACTTGAAAAAAACCCAAATGAAAAAAATACACCTCTCCACTTTTTAATGATTTTTCGACAAATTATTGACGGGAAAAATGTGAAACTTTCTGAGGGGAAAGAGGAAAAA